CCATTCCTCCTGCTAATCAAGGGTTGATGTGAATTACCAAGGAAGACAGCACTCCTACTTGACACTCTTTCACCTGGCAACAAGGCTGATTAACATTTAAAGTGGGAATTCCAGAAAAGCAGGTTTTTTGGTTGCCAAGGTGACAGACAGAAAACAGAAACTGGCTCTTTGTGTATGGCATAGGGTGACCAAGTGCCTTATTTTTCAGAGGATAGTCCTCTGTTTGAAAGGAACATGTCTTATACTGAGTTAGACCACCTAGACCAGATTTCAGAATGGGTTCTCTCCAAGCCCTTCCTGGAGATACAGTGGTACCTCGGGTTACATACGCTTCAGGTTACAGACTCTGCTAACCCATAAATAGTGCTTCAGGTTAAGAACTTTGCTTCAGGATGAGAACAGAAATTGTGCTCCAGCTGCGTGGCAGCAGCAGGAGGCCCCATTAGCCAAAGTGGTGCTTCAGGTTAAGAACAGTTTCAGGTTAAGAATGGACCTCCGGAACGAATTAAGTACTTAACCCGAGGTACCACTGTACTGGGGGTTGAATCTGGGACATTCTGCATGCAAAGCAGATGCTCAACCACTCAGCTATTGCCCTTCCTCCAAACCAAATCTCATTGCTGAGCGCCAATCCTTTTGGAAGCCCTTTCTCCTACATTTTAGCAAGGAAGGGAGAGGGACACCATTTCCATTTCTGCAGAAGGCACAGCAGATGGATGCTTGACCCACCAGCCAGGCTCAAAGCTGTGAATGCAGGCAGCCCCGGCTGATAGGACCAAGTGTTCTTTTTCCATGCCCCACTTGAAAAACACCGTTATCTGGATTTTCTGGTTGTTGTCCAAAGGAGAACTGTTTCAGGAAAGAGGGTCTATATATACACATACACACACATCTGTAAAAGATTTTGACACTCTGGCAGGAGACTAGTATCTTTAAAGAGGCTTAAATATTGCATTGTTATCAACTGCTCCAGTTGTTGATTTTTAAAAACCTGGAACAAAATAAAGATCAATAAAATCTTTTCCCCCAAGGCAAATGCTCACAATCTATTTCACAGAAGAGTCTGTAAAGAGGAGGGATCCTTTATTAATATAAGGGCGAGAAGTCGTCTCTTTTTAAAAAATAAATGGGAATATGCTGGGCCCTTTGGGAGAGTCGAAGGGGAACACCAGCACAGCACAGCCTTTGTTAGCTGACACAGTTCACCTGCCACTCTTGGTTCCCACAGTGAATTTTTAATAGTAAGTTGCAGTTTTGACCTTTGCCTGCATCTTGCCAGTTCAAGGAGGGAGGGAGGGGGGAAGGAGGGAGGGAGGAAGGGGTGGGTGGGTGGCATCCATGGGACAACATACCATAACACAGTGAAGGATTACAGGGCAGTGGGGAACAAGCAACACCATATGATGTCCTGCTGAGCATAAGGCAATCCAATTGCACCAAAGTCTACGGGACTCAATACTGTAATTAGTGTTGCAGATCTGGCACGCTACCATATGTAAACCATCAGAAAGGAATGCCACAAATTGTGTTTGAAAAACCTTTCCGGGAACCAGAAAGGAGGAGTCGTTTATGCTTACCAACCCATTTGCAAAACCAGACGTAAGCACCCTACTTGTAGAATTGTACAATCATAGAACCCATTTATAAAACTAGACTGCAGAGGAGCCAACACATAGGGGCCGAGGAGTCTTTGGTACCCAAATAAAATATTTGAGGGGGCTGACCCCTCCCCCAAGTTGATGGGCATTGCCATTCAAATGGTGTGTGTGCACTGTGTCATGTGATTGATTATCTGGGGAGGTGCATACCTGCCCCCGCCAATACAGTGGTACCTCAGGTTACATATGCTTCAGGTTACAGACTCCGCTAACCCAGAAATAGTGCTTCAGGTTAAGAACTTTGCTTCAGGATGAGAACAGAAATCATGCTCCGGCAGCGAGGCAGCAGCGGGAGGTCCCATTAGCAAAAGTGGTGCTTCAGGTTAAGAACAGTTTCAGGTTAACAACGGACCTCTGGAACGAATTAAGTACTTAACCCGAGGTACCACTGTATTTTATTCAACTTCACACCCTGCTAGACTTTACAACTCTGCTCAAAAAAGGTAGGTGCTCCAGTGACACACCAGTGACAAATGGAATCATAGGGGCATTGTTGTTCGTGTACATACGCTCATTTCTTGTGTACCCCCATAGTCTCTGGTCAAAGAGGTTCTGCAGATTTTAGAAGAATAACAAAAACATACCAAACCTGCTTGGCCAGACTTATCAGTGGCACAGGAAATGTATAAAATACGTGTTCACACCACCAAGGGCAAGGCTGGCTGCATCCCTTTTTAATTCCAAATTACCAAATTAATTACTAAAAATAATATCACCCAAATACTGAAGCTGTCAGAGCTTTACAATTTTTACAAAAGGTATGAAATCTGATTCAAATCCCAATAGCAACAGAAATGGTACAAGTTGCCAGTGACACTACTGATAGCAAAGGCTTCCTCTGATGGATGAAGTCTTCTTCTGATGGGTGGACACCTGCTGCTGATGGAAGAACTTTTTTCATTGGAGGTCAGGCCTCCTGCCAGAGTAAGGGAGCCTTTGAATACAACCCTTTAGCTTTGCTACTAACATAGGAAGCTGCCTTATACAGCTTTAGACTCTTGATCCATTGAGCTCAGCATTTGTCTACACTGACCAGTAGCGACTCTCCAGAATTTCAGATGTCAGGAACAGAACATGGAACAAAGCAGATGTTCTGCTGCTGAGCTGAGACCCTCTCCCCACATGAGATCCCATTATCTGGAAGACACAATCTAACAGTTCTCCTGTACACATCTCACTGAAATGTATGGGAACAGCATGAGAGTATAACCATGTTCCAGCTCTGGTCCCATTCCTTTTTTAACAGTGCTTGCAGAGGAAAACATTTCAGTTCATTGTAGCATTTCTTATCAGTTGCATGTTGAATGACTTAAAAAAAAAAGTTCCATTACATTAACTCACTTCCTTTCATTTTCTGCAATATTGATGGTTAAAGAAGCTAAAGAAGCAACTATTGACGGGGATTAAAATGATTACAGTGGTACCTCGGGTTAAGTACTTAATTTATTCCGGGGTCCATTCTTAACCTGAAACTGTTCTTAACCTGAAGCACCACTTTAGCTAATGGAGCCTCCTGCTGCCGCTGTGCCGCCGCCGCGCGATTTCTGTTCTCATCCTGAAGCAAAGTTCTTAATCCGAGGTACTATTTCTGGGTTAGCGGAGTCTGTAACCTGAAGCGTATGTAACCTGAAGCGTATGTAACCCGAGGTACCACTGTATATTAAGAGAGGTGAAATGTCCACATGGGGAGTGATTTCTTTATTGTCCCATGGGAGTGAATGGCAGCCATTCAGTTACATAAGAAAAAAATAAAGTGACGCACCAGAGGATACTAAGACAAAGCACAATGTGTGGGGTTCTGCTCACTTTTCTTATCCCAAATAATGGAATGGGAACCATCAGAAGCTGAACCAGCCCAGGTTCACATTGTTCAGCCTTCAGACACTTCTTGGTAAATGCATTAATCTGACCTCCAGTCCATTTCACTACTTCAGGTGTGAGGAACATTTGGCCTTCCAGATGCTGCTAAACTACACCTGCCATCATTCCTGGCCAATGGCTTTCCTTGCTGGGGCTGATGGGAGATGAGGTTCAGCAACATCTGGAGGGTCAAATGTTCCCTGCGCCTGCTCTAACCATAACAATATAGCTGGGTTTGATAATAATAATAATAATAATAATAATAATAATAATAATAATAAAAGAGAGAGTCAGAGCTAGCAGAATAAACAGAGTACATGTTTTATCCTAAATATGTAACAGAGTAAATGTTTCACCCTAAATATATAGCCTGATTTCATTTTAATGAAACCTGTTCTGCTGAGTTAAGAAAATAAGGCACCAGTTCCTTCATTTGCTTTTCGGCTATTTATCATTCATTTGCAAACATATTTGTGGTTGCTGTCCTGTTCAGCAATACCTTACAAAAAGATAAGCATTTGGAGTTTGGAAATCCAGCCTCTGGGATGGTGGAATAAAAAGGCTACAAAAGACTCAAAAGGAGCTGTAAATATAGAGACCAGAGGTGAGGATTCTAATGCATCAGCTGTGTAATTGCATTAATTCAATACAATGATTAAAGAGCGCTGAAGCAATGCTACTGCCTCAGCCAGACAGGTTCTGATTAAACAACAGAGGTGTGAGAAAACTATTATGGATCAAAGATTGATAAGATACAAGCAGGGGAAGAAAATAGGTTGGACGGATTTAGAAAATGATATTAAGTGGCTCTGAAGGAAAGAAATATGTTTAAATATAAAATGCACAATGGAGTGTGTGATGCAGCATTATAAATATGCCATTAAACAAATGGCTTGAAGAAGAGGAAGAGCCAGCCAGAGATGAAAATATTCCAGCCTGGATTGTACATTTGATCATCTGTCATTTGTTTGTTGGATCTCAGGCTTTGAAGACTGTGACAGGAAGGAAGGATTTTTCAAATGATAAATCTATATATATATTTTCTTCTTCCATCCATGGGTCCATATATTGATATGCAACCATATATTTGGGGGGGGGAGGCAAGTAAGCCCCATCCTGCATAATCAATCACAAGAGGTGGTGCATGCACACCATTTGAATGGCAATGCCCATTAACTTGGGGGAGGCGGTTCAAATATTGAATGGGGGGGCTGAAGGGACCTCTGCCCCAAGGAGTTGGCTTCTATGTATGCAATTCTGTTTAGATACTTAAGGTATACTATTGAGATGTCCATAAATGGTTCAACTGTATATGGAAATGTAGTAATAAAGATAGGTGCAGCTGAGTCCCAGCTTTCTCACTTTCTTCATCCCTTCAGTGTGGTGTAGTGGTTAAGAGCAGTGGACTCGTAATCTGGTGAACCGGGTTCGCTTCCCCGCTCCTCCACATGCAGCTGCTGGGTGACCTTGGGCTCGTCACACTTCTCTGAAGTCTCTCAGCCCCACTCACCTCACAGAGTGTTTGTTGTTGGGGAGGAAGGGAAAGGAGATTGTTAGCCACTTTGAGACTCCTTAGGGTAGTGATAAAGCGGGATATCAAATCCAAACTCCAACTCCTCCTCCTTCAAACCCTGAGAGAGAAAGGGAATCTATCTATCAGCTGTCATCTATCTATCTATCTACCATCTATCCTATCATCTCCCTGAGAATCATGTGTCCCACACCTTGGGTTCCATGATGGAAGATGAAATCTCCCATCCAGGCACTGACCAGATCCAGCCCTGCTTAGCTCTCTGGCCCCATGTGCAGACCATACCCTAGGACCCTTTAGGCACCCTTGCCTTTCTGCACATTTAGTTCTAGATACCAGCAAGACTCTAGTTAAACAAGAAGCAGACTCAGGCTTAAAAGCAAATTAATAAGCCATAACTGATACAAATGTTAAATGATATTAATGACTTCGTGTTGGGTTGATCCAGGATCTATAACTTCACAAGGTTTGGCAATCTTGTTGGGTTAGCAGTCATGAAAACAATGGTAGCATTTACTGCAGGATATGACATCAATGCTCATCTTCTTGAGACGTTTCTAGGAAATAGTGTAGTCAAGCCCTGCTTAGTTTCCATGCGCTATATAAAATGGTTGGGCTAAACATTGTTTTTATAGCATTACATATATTCCCCTGAAATTGCTTATATCTGGAGCTTTCTTGTGTTGTTTCCAATTAACCCCACTGCTTAAAGGCTGCGAAAATGAGGACACACTTTGCATATCAATACACGCCTCCACACTAAACTCCCAGTTTGGAACTGCTTCATTCTGCAGTGTTGGCCTTCAGCTGATGGGTCATGGCCTGCAACTCATTCATGTCCTGACTTAGGAAGAGTCTCAAGGAGAGCCGCCACCAGCTTCTCTTTAAAGTTCATTCTTATTAAAGAACATGGGAGAGGAAGCGAGAAGAGACAAAGCACAGCACAGAGAGAAAATGAGAAGGGAGATGGTACAGCACAGAGAGAAAATGAGAAGGGAGATTATATATATATATATATATATATATATATATATATATATACGGATATTTCAAAGAGAGTCCAAAGTTGTAGGCTGGATTAAAGCAGTGATGGATGATGCCCATTAGGACTGGTGAGGCAGAAGAAGAAGAAGAGTTTGGATTTGATATCCCGCTTTATCACTACCCGAAGGAGTCTCAAAGCGGCTAACATTCTCCTTTCCCTTCCTCCCCCACAACAAACACTCTGTGAGGTGAGTGGGGCTGAGAGACTTCAGAGAAGTGTGACTGGCCCAAGGTCACCCAGCAGCTGCATGTGGAGGAGTGGAGATGTGAACCCAGTTCACCAGATTACGAATCTACCACTCTTAACCAGTACACCACAGGCAAAGAGGCTGACAACATACTGCCCAACCATCCCAATTTGACCGGGACATCCTGGAATTATAGAAGCCATCCTGGCTTCTGATTGAATCCCAGAATGTTCCGTTTTTTAGTCTAGCACTCTCTCGCAAGTCACACCTCCCTGTTTTCAAATCATAGAAGTGGATCAGGAGCAATGAGTTGGGGTGCCTCTAAAGCTTCCATCACACCTTTTGCTCTTGACACGGCCACTGCCATGTTCCTTCCCACTTGCAGGAGAGTCTGTGTCAGGTCCGATGCTGGGAATAGTGGTCCCCACATGGCTCTGGCCATTTCCTCTGCTGCTCCTGGTCGTACCCTTCACCACCTCTGAGCCAGAGACCGGCCAGGGCTGGGAGCCGCTACCACACCTCAGTGGAAGCAGCAGAAGGCACTGCCATCACTTGTAGTTCAGGAGCAGAGCTGGCCAGGACTAAGGTGAGGACCAAGGTGAGGAGAGTCAAACTGTTATGTACTGATATGTGTCCCAATTTTCATCAGTGGAATGCTGGAGGGTTTGCAACAGTAGGTGAAGCCAGACAGGTGGAGCCAACTAATTTCACTTTTGTTCTCCATCTCTTCTGTTTGCTGAGTTCTGCAAGGGGCAATACAGAGACTAGAAAGGATTAACCGGTGGGCTGGTGGTAAGTAAGAAGGCGGGTGAGAGGATTGGCTGCGGTTGGTGGAGCAGTGTCTCACTTGCCCTGGTGGATCTGCCTCCATTGGTGGGAGAGCAGAGGAATAAACCTCTCTTAGACACATTGCCTAACTGGAAGGAGAACAGCAGAATCAGGAGCTTCATAGCAGATACTGGCACAAGGTACCATCCAATTACTTAGGCCAGAAGGATGCTGAGCTGTTGTGCAACATGCCCAACTAGAGCTGTCTGCTCTTCTCTCTTCTGTTTCTGATTCGCAGGATTTCTAATTCCAGACCCACAGCAGCTGACACTCCTTCACTGCTTTCCGTTTAAATCACCGGGGATGTTTGGTTTTTATGGATCGAGCCTGTAAAAACCGAATGTTCTCTTTTTGTCCTTTTTAAACATGGAGCAGAGGTATTGGTATTGAAAGCTCTGGCAGCATCTAATGAGGGTTGCAGTGTAGACAGGACAAAAGCTAGAATTATGCAGTTAGCTGTACTGGTCTGCAGGTTTCCGTTAAATGGATGTCTTTGCCTGGCTATCCTTCACGGTAATTGCCATGTCTGGGAAGCTGACTCTCCCTAGAGATTAATCTATTTTAAGTTTATTGGATCAGGGGATGCTACTGAAAGACATACTTTAAAAAAAAAAGGCACACACACACACAAAACTCTCTACACTTGATTTCTTAAGGCCAAAGAAAAATAGCATTGTCTACATCTGTATTATTTTGAGGTGTTTTCTCGGCATTGGCCTAGGCCAGTGTTTCCCAAACTTTTTTGGGCAACGGCACACCTGTTTACTGAAAAAAAATCTCACGGCACACCACCATTAAAGCCCCGCCCCGTGACGTCAGCGCGCAGCGTCACGCCGGGAGGGACGCACGAAAGTGAAAGTTTTCAATTTTTTTCCCTCCCCCTTGCCGGGGAACCTCCAAGCTTTGGGGTGGGGGGGGGAGGAGGCAGCAAAGCGAGGCAGGAAGGAGAGCACGGCTTGGCTGAGTGAGCTTTGGCAGGGGCAGGGAATGAGAGCCGCTCGGCGGGCGCTGCGGACGGAGGCGCTGCCCGCCGAGCTCGCAGCTCGCCCGTTGAAGCCTGCACGATCACCCGCCGTGGGGAGCCGGGGGCGGCGGCGCGGTTGCCGGGCAGCGGCGGGGGTGGTGGTGGCGGTGGCTGCTTGCCGCCCTCCTGGGCGGAGGCGGGCACGGTGGGCACCAGCACGGCCAAGGGCCCCTGCTTGGTGCCGTCGGATGTGGGAGCTCGCTTGCTCGCCGCCCCGCGTGTGCTCGCCGAGCATGCGCAGGCCCAGTAGCGAGCGGCGATAGGATGTAGCGAGCGGCAATGGGGCTAGCCGGAGAAGAGAGGGCGAGCCCCCTCCGCTCCGGCCCTAAAAAGGGCAAGCCACGCCCCCTCCAGCCAGCCGATTGGCTGGCCAGGAGGCGTGGCCGGATGGGATTCCCCTGCTCTCGCGGGGGCTGAGATAGGATTCCCCGCTCACGTGGGGGCGGATGGGATTCCCCGCTCACGTGGGGAAGGGTGTGATGCCCGCAACCCCACCTCCTGGGGCAGGCCCAGTAGCGAGCGGATGCGCAGGCCCAGTAGCGAGCGGCGATGGGATGTGGGAGCTCGCTCGCTCACCGCACCCGCGTGTGCTCGCCGCCGCCGCCCCGCCTCTCACCGCCCGACTCGCCCGCCTCCACGGAACACAAGGCAAAGTTCCACGGCACACTAGTGTGCCGCGGAACACCGGTTGGGAAACACTGGCCTAGGCAACTATTTCCATCCTATGGCTCCATATATTTATTTATAAGCACTTGGTGAAATATGTAATTGTAAGATTAACAAAGAACTGAACGGTCCAAAATGTTTTGGAGGAGATTTAGAAACGGAAACCATAACTGAAGCTCACCTTTCACGTGATATTTTCTACAGAAGATCTGTATCTCTGGTAGAATCATAGAATCATAGAGTTGGAAGAGACCACAAGGGCCATCGAGTCCAACCCCCTGCCAAGCAGGAAACACCATCAGAGCACTCCTGACATATGGTTGTCAAGCCTCTGCTTAAAGACCTCCAAAGAAGGAGACTCCACCACACTCCTTGGCAGCAAATTCCACTGTCGAACAGCTCTTACTGTCAGGAAGTTCTTCCTAATGTTTAGGTGGAATCTTCTTTCTTGTAGTTTGGATCCATTGCTCCGTGTCCGCTTCTCTGGTGCTCTTGAAAAATTCCATGTGTTTATGTGAAGCCTGTTAGTGCTCCTCGTGGAGAGTATGCTGCATGTACAGCCTATGGTGTCAACTGTTAAAGAAATTGGAGTTCTTGTTGAAAATACACTGAAAAGGATATACCAAGAGCTCTGGCCACAAGTTTAAATATAAGGAATAATTCCTACTCAAGAGTTGAAAAGAAAAACATGTGTATTCTGCTAAGAATAACAGTTAGAAGCTAATAGTAAATTTAAACACAGCGTGTAAGTGCGATAGTTTTAAGGTAATAGTAAATTTAGATACAACGTTTAAGTGCAGAAATAATATAGTTTCAAATGGTGTCAACTGAGCTTTCTGCCACACCTCCACCCACACCCAAGCCAATCAGGAGAGGGTAGAAGACACCAGGGCAGACCTGGGAAGGAACTACAGTCTTCTGGTCACCGCTCCCCAAGAGCACCTGCTATTGTCTTCTTGGTTTGGCATACATTTTGTTTACTTCTGTTTACCAGAAATGGAAGTAATCCACTGCTCTGGACCTAGTATGAGTGGCCAATTGATGGAGCTGAGAAAGAATTTTCCCTAGGGCCCAGATTTTGCTAAAATGGTCTCAGGATTTTTTGCCTTCCTCTTAGTAAATTGCATGCGGTGTGTGCTCTTGATATCCCAGCAGGGGTGGTGGTGGGGTTTGTGTGTATGTGTGTGACAACTTTGACATGTGAGGGTGTTGGGGATAGGCTTCCCACTCTCTCACACAGGAGAGCATCCCTTGAGAGGCATTGAGGCACACGCACAGTCTTCCTGGCAGGCTCCTCTGCTCTTATGGCAAGCCATTTGCCTCCGTGAAGTTGTACTAAATAAAAGTTGTGGCCATTGTGCCTTCAATGTCGGTACTTGGTGTAGACACAGTTTTAACCAGCATCTTTTGTTTCAGACCAGAAAGGAGTTTCAATCTAGCATGTTCTCTTGACCAATATTTTATAAACTTTTATGTAGTAGTAGTAATAGTAATATTTATATGCCACCAGTCTGGGCAGCTTCCAGCAAAACATTTAAAACTTCCCTTTTGTAACCAAACATTTTGACTGCCTGTGTACTTTTTCTGACTGCTGTGTGCAAAAGCACATGAACCTGACCTTTGAAGAGTTTTGCAAGTAAACCATTTTATGACATACCAAAATGTGGCCTATCTCTATGCTACAGAAGTGAGGTAGCTTGGAAATAGCCTTTAAAGGGGGGCCTTGGGTGGAGTTACTGGAAGGGCACATTTTAAAGGTTTTACAGCCTGTTTTTCTTTGCTACATGTTTTGTGATGTTAAATCTGTGCTGGGATTCTCTCATGAAAGAGTACATGCCCTAAACTTGGGTCTTAGCTTCTAGGATTCCAACACCCTGTGGATGTTTTCTCCCCCCATTCCTGCTGTTTCCAGTCCATGAAAAGGCATAGTTGTAACCTAAACTTCACACGATGTAAACTTAAACTCTTGAGCTTTTTGCAAATGTAAAAGGTATCCTGGGAGTAGGAAGCGATCGTCAACAAACTTAGTTTAAATAAGATGTGCAGAAAGCCATGGCAAATACATAAGCAGCCATACGGGACTACAATGCTTGAAATGTACCAGTTCAATGAATAAAAGCTGTGGCATAACTTCCATGAAATAAATATTAATTAGAATAACTATAGATCCACGAGGTGTAATCAAACTGGATGTATGCCAAACCATCCAGAGAATTAAATTTTGCTTGGGTCTTGTGTGGAAGTACAAGTGGTTCTATTTGGCTAGCAAGTGGTCCTATTTGGACCACAATTTAATCTAACCACCCATGGTTGCTCTCTATCCACCCAGATTCATCTATCTGAATGGTCCCTCTTAGAGTTATAGCACCTCATTTGAATATGCAATCCCTACACCTGTTTTCATTCCCATCAATGGTCTGTTGTTACATTTTTCCCCCTCAAATATCTTCATAGAATTTCCCCCTCTGCCCTTCCATGACATTTTGGTGCTGTGAATAAAATACGCAACAGGTTGTTCCATATCCTCTTCTGCATGAATGAAGGCTTGTGAGGACTTTTGCTGACTCAACGGGTTGGCGTGATTGACTGGAGCAGGAGTACAGTAGGAGAGCAACTCGCCAGGGGTATTGCTGAAACAGACAGCTGTTGAATCCTTTTGGATAGACGGGGTTCCTTATAAATATTTACTGGGCTGCAAAACAGATAAGCTATTGTAGTAGCAAGTTAAAAGAATAATAAGGAACAAAATTACTGGGATACTTTTCTACGTCGGCCCTCCCTTGGGAGCTTCAGTCAGATTATCTGGCTGAGTACTTTTATAGTAGACTATCTGTGGGATATTTGTACTCAGACCCCTATTGACCAAAGTTTTTCATCGGCATTTGATTGCCTTTTTGTGGATCAAAGAAGAAATTGGCAGTGGTTGACCCAAATGAAAGGCTACAAAATTCTCTGAATATTCATTCATGTATTCAACAAATGTACATCTTAATCATATTGATCAAGAGATGGTGGAAGGTGCAAGAGTGTTTGTAATTATTGGTGACATGATCTATATTGTCTCAAATATAGTTTAACAGCTGCATTTCCTCTTAACTGAGGTTAAGTACTTCTGTGGCTGGAATCCTCAAACCAGGCAATCTGATATTAGTAAGAATGATAATAAAAAGATTGTTTTCGGTAAGATTACTCAGGAATAATTAGATTAAGAATTTCAGAGAGTCTCCTAATTCCAAACATGTAAGTTTACGAGAACATCAGTGCCAATGAACCTTATTTCCAAGTAAGTATAGTGGAAGTCTCAGCCTGAATTGTTGGTAGGCAAGGGCATTTACATATTTCTCTGCCGTATTTTGTATCCTATGAACATTTCAACAGAAAAAGACTGTCTAAAGGAGGCCACTTTAGGAATCCCAACATCCTTGTAACTTTGCTACTATGGATTAAAATGTAACTTGGTCCCAGGTTCTTTCTTAATAAAAAAAGTTCTTCCTGTGCAAAGGAGAGGGATGGGGAGGACTTTCCCTGTAATTAAACTGGGCAATGAATAAACCGCTATCACTGGTCTCGCAGTAGCTGCTTGCGAAACCATTTAGTAAAAGGGACCTGCTGAAATCCAAACGGAAAGTCCTCCCCCCCCCCCAAATCTAAGCAACAGGAAAGGTTCATTGCCTGTCAGTCACAGCTCCGGCAAGCTCTTCTTCTTTTAAAGCACTTCAATTTTTCAAGCTGTTGGAGGGATTGCCATAGATCCTGGGGGCATATGCCTGAAAGCAAGATCATAATTCAGCAGCAGGAGGTCTGCTTATCTCGCTCAGCAGCGAGCTGGCAGAGGACAAGAGCCCAGGCTTTGTTTATGAAAGCAATAAATAGCATGCCTGTTTTGTGGCCTAACTGGTTTTAAAGCCTATTGGTTGGGAGATGTTGGGGGGAAGTGTGTGTGTGTGTGTGTGTGTGTGTGTGAGAGAGAGAGAGAGAGAGAGAGAGAGAGAGAGAGAGAGAATGAGAATGCACAAGTAGGGAGCCTATCCCCCTCTTTTTTAAATAAATAAATAAATCCCACCGCACAACCTTTTCTTGTAGTTACAGCCTCTTGATCTCTTTGTTAAGATGTGCTTCTTAGGGGCCTATTGTCATTCAGGAAATGCCATCCCATCAGCCTCTGAAAAAGAGGAGGGAGATGGCATTCGGGGACTTTGGTTTCAATTGGAAAAGAGCACAGCTTGCTTGAAACACAGGCACACATGAGAGTGCTTCAAAGCACTACTTTTTGACACTTGGTACACAAAGTCCTATATTGGTTTTCCGGGTGCTTGTTCGTCTTAAAGAGCAGCTTCCGTCATGAGGATTCCTGCTGGTTTCAGGAGGTATATACGTATACAATGCAGGGCATTGCGCTGATAGCTCCCCTCAAGGACCGTGATTTATAAAATAAAATAAAAATAGCAGATTCAGGCACTTTTGTGAGAGGGCAGCTCCTTGCTTGGTTGGCAAAATAATTCACTACAGCAGAGAGACTGCTCTTCTGTTCACCTCACTTCATACACACAAATCCGTGTGTGTGTGATGGTTTGTTTCCCCTGCTCAGTTTTTGGCCTCCAAGTTATCATGAAAGTGGCACAATAGTAGACTCTTAAAAGGGGACTGCTGTTGAGGGATACCCACCTCCAATCAATGTTCATTAGGAGGGAGACACAGCTGAATAAATTTGGAACGTGGCAAACCGCCTTAGCTTTCCTCTCAGATCATTGCTCCATCTAGCTCACTGCTGCCTGCATTGCAGACCCTCCAAGTGTCCCTATTTTCCAGGGATGTCCCTGATTTAGAAAAGCCGTCCCAGTTTCTGGTTTGATCCCAGAATGTCCCACTTCTCATTAGGTTGTCTGTATTTTCATTGGATACATTATAGTTATTCGACCCCCGAGCCGTCTGAAGGCAATCCTGTATAGGGAAGGGTTATTTAAATGTTTAATGTTTTGTTATGTTTTAATATATGTTGGAAGCTGCCCAGAGTGGCTGGGGCAACCCAGTAAGATGTGTGGGGTTATAAATAGTATCATTATGGAATTATCATTATGGGATGGGAACGTCCCTATTTTCATCAGAGAAATGTTGGAGGGTTTGGCATTGACGACCAATGACTTCCAAGGGTTTTCATAGTGGAAATTTCCCCAACCCAATCTGGATATACCATTGGTTGACCCAAAAGTCTAAACTGGTCACTTGCAAAGGGCTTTTGAACTTGGGCTGAGGACTGCGTAAATGTTAGGACTGAGGACCACAGAGTGCCTAACCTTAATATGAAGCAATATGCGGCTTACTGCTGTTGAAGTAATATAGATTGCTGGTAATTCTCAGAGTTTAAACATTTTAATCATTTCTAAATTTTGGTGGATAAACACTAATATAAGAGGGAGAGGAAATTGCACAAAGCTTTCTTTAAAAACCATCTTCATCTAAGTAAATGCTTCAATATAAATATGATTAAGTATATTTCATTATTGGAGACACCAATCTATTACGACTGTGTTTTTAAGAATCTTTCAGATTTTTATGAAGTAAATATTACCCCTCATTATTTTAGACCATCTGCAAAGCAAAATTATCTGAAGGCGGTCTTCACTGTTCCGAGATAGACTTCTTTATCCTTCTATGAAATA